CGTCTTAAGATGGTGTATGGTTGTGGTGATGGTGGATCTAAAATCAAGTCACGGACTTCTTTGGCGACTGAAGGAGGAAGGATAGAACACAAGTCTCTATAGCGAATCCCTTCAGATTTGATATTGTGTCTCGTAAAATAATGCTCTAGTTGAGCAAACCACAACTCAGGATCACTACGATCAAATTCTGGAAGTCGGGATTTCGTAGTCATAACAGTGTCCACTGGTGACAAATCCTCCAGATTATGGGTTTCTATTAAGTCTGACATGAGGTATGTGACAAATATGGCAATAAAGTTAGCACGAAAAATGGTTACTATAACACGAATAACTTAAGATAATACTGGTTATATACTCAACTTAGTTTACGGATAATCAGGTCTACTTTTACGATTAAGTAAAAAAATTAATAACAGAAATGAGGTTAAATTTGTGTTCAAAAAGTGCTCACCACTTTCGTGCCTAAAGGTAACCCTCGTGCTATTGATAGAAGAAACCAGAGAAGTAGTGAATAGGTCTTTATTTCGATCTTCTCGCAGTCACAGTGGAGCGTGGGATTATCTGTTCAGACAAACAAAGGCTCTCAACATTCAATATAAGATAATAGGGAATATAACGCTTACATAAAGTAAGGAAGTGAATGAATACTTGAACAATATTGTTTTAGCATATGCTTGGTTGTTTGGGGTCAACTCTCAACCAACCAACCTGAGCTGTTACAACTCCATCATCCATCCTTTTGTGATGACGTGGTTATTTATATTCATTTATGCACAAAACATTATCTCTAACTAGATGCTGTATGTTTCATATTCTTTTGGATGGCACTATTACCGTAAGTGTCATTAAACAAGCTTATTCTATGATTAGACATCATGGACTGTGGGAATATAATTTAAAATACGGGTTTTCGAACAAGGTATAAGCAGTAAGGAAAGTATAACAGCGGACAAATGTTAACCGAAGTAGGTGGAAAAGTGTAGGAATATGATAGTTATAAATAAAAGGATGGGTAATTAGATGAAATTAACGGTAAGTCAATATAGAGCAACATGAAGCTGAGGACTGTAGTGTCCTAACCACATAGTTCTTTAAGCTGAACACAAGACAACTGGGAAAACAGAACGCATAGAAAAACCCACCAATGGAGAAGGTGGGAAGAATGAATTCGATGAATTCAAGTCCATCGAATGGCATGGTTCGGCCTTACAGGCGTGGTCATTCTTATGTGTTGTCTTATCAACTTTGTTCATATTAAATATATTGTTCTATCTCCAGCCCAAACGTGTTCTCCATCATATATTGGTGATTGTTACGATACGATGAGTCGGTGTAGATAATGATGTGAATCCCACGTAAGATCTTATAGGTTAAGCATTTACACCATGATAAATCTATAGTTTTAGGATTAGGTCACTTATTAGGGCCGTAGACCATTAGGGCCGAAGTAGACCATAATTCTACGGGACCATTATGCATCAAACTATGTGTGTACTCGTCAACCTAGTCATTACGTTTTACCATTATCCTTTTCTCCGTCGACTTGAAGATTTGAAAAGGAGAACAAAGCTTATAGATATATAAATGTGGGTATTTAAATAGACTCTACCACTTCATGTCATTTTAGTGTGAAAGGGAACTTGTAGTCATACAGCTGTAAGTTGTACAAACTCCATAGATACCCAGTAGCAACATAGAGGAGCCATGACATATGGTATCTGAGGTCTTATTGTGTTGCACGGAGGGTGCAGATATGGAGAAAATTCTCACTCTCTGCTTGTTCCTTTGACTAGGCATTTACATTTCCGGAACATATATTGTTTCTTTTTATTGTTTGTGTTGTGTATATTGATTCCTATTCTTGAATTCGATCGCAGTTGTTAATACTATATTGTCTGGGAATTCTGAATCCTTACTGGTGATCGAAATATCAATCTCCTTGATAAAAACATTTTTTTATACCTCTGTTCACTTTACCCACCCTGTCACTATGTTTAGCAACATTTTATTATTACTAATATTGTTACAATAATCTTTTTGGAAAATGGCGCCTTCCTTTCTCACTTGGTAGACAGTAAACATCATATCAAAATAGAGGAAGCCTTCTCTGCTTTATATCAAGTTCCGAAAACTTTTCCTCAGAGAGCTAGATTACGATTACTTTATATCTGGATCAACTCCAGAAAACCAAACTTATGCATCCAGAAAAAGTATATCCAGCCACTATGTTTAACTTGGCCTACGACTGGATCACCAAATTCCTAAACTAAAAATTATAAACCTCCCCCCTTTTTTTCTTTTCTTCCCTTTTTTGTTGATCACCTCTATCTTAATCTTCACATTCATCACTCCCGATTCCTCTATCCTAATTATCTTGATAACATCCCCTTTTATTACGTATGATATTCACACAACAATATTGTTATTATTACTATTACTATTTATCATTATTATCTCAATTGACAAAATGAAATTCTCCTACTATGCACTTTATTTACACAGTTTTTTTGCATTTTCATTTTTTCTAAATTACTATTATATCAATTGTGACTAGACACTTGATTACAAATCACTTTGACCTTTATTAAATGACCTTTCTAATTTACAGATAACACAATTTCGAAGCATATATATGTCGTAACAGATGCAAACGTCTACCATTTTTAACATATAACATTGTCAAATTAATTAATACATGTCTCATTTTGGAATTTGTAAAATATTATAATTATGGACTTATAACTGTAGAGCCTGATGATGAAGTTATTGAAAACAATTGTTCGCTCAAATATTGTTCATTTCTGATACATATGTCAGGAATTGAATATGCCTAAATGAGAACTCTTCGCCTAACTGATCTAAATTAATTCACACGGCTGATATGGTGACAAAGTCGATCTCTCAGATTCAAAGATTATGGATTTTGTAGAGAGAGGGTCTCCAAGGACCTTCTGAATTTAATCTAAAGAACAAAGAGGAGTTAGTTAGCATCGTTTAATATACGTATAATGAAGTGTAGGTTGTACACAAATGAATTTCATAGTACTCAATTGAAGTCACTTTTTTCTTGTCTTATTATTAAACCCTGCAGCTTTCACATTAACAGCTAGAGACACAAACCGAACTCAAGCTACCTGTTTGTAAAAAATTCTCTGTTTAAGTTTTCTGCTGAACCCATTTTTATCCCTTCGAAAGCTTTTTTAGAATGTATTCCGATATCAATGATCTATAGTCATACTGCAGTTATATTTTTTGATCATTATTTTACAACCCTAGGTTTACTGAACAGAAATTTAAGTACTTCATTTTTTGGTATTCACTTGGGATGTCAGTTCGTAGAGCACAAAGTTACGGAGCTTAACGGAAGGAGCAATCGTCCAATGGCTATTAAGATGAAAGCACCTCATTGCGGATCCAGAGTAGCTTACTTCCCTATTTTGCTTGGCAAACGTATTTCTTATTTTACTCTGTCAAGTGATGAGGGAAATAATAACCGTGTTTGAATAAGGTCAGTGAGCTTGACTTACCCTCCATTGCGGTGTAATAAAAGTTTTAACCAGGTGCTTTAGATTTCTTTCTTGACCTTTATATCTGACGAGGAAACAAAGCTTGAAGTTTGACAAAAGCATTCAATAGTCCTGATGTGATATAGACAATTTGAAAGGCGAGATCTAAGCCCTCTATCATTTAGAATCCTCAATAGCCGTTAAGGTAAGTGAGCTACAATAAGTCTTTTTGTTAGCTACTCAGAACGTTAATTGTTAACCTATTTTACCTGAAGACAGGTGAAATAAACAGGAATAAAATGTAGTAATAAGTATGGGAGTAAATAAGCAGTGTTATATTGAAGTAACTTTGACCCTCATTAAGCCCTCATAAACTACAATCAGACATCATTGATTGGCACCGAGAATTAGCTTTCACATTTGGTTCAACACCGTCCACATGATTCTCATTGTGATTGTCGACATCTAACTTCACTTCCCATTCGCTTCCGTCGACTGTTGTGTCACTCGAGACGAACTACTAAACACTTATACAATAAGAAAGTATGTATAATAACAATCTATAAATAGCCCCTACAAGTTACCCATAATTTATTTTATTTCGGACACAGTAGTTTCATACATTGCTTTGAGTAGGTTCACTGATTCCGCCAGGATCATTAATGAGAAAGATTAAGTCCGATAGTTTTATTTAATAGTAGTAACCCAGACCAAAACTCCCACGTAGTGTGGGAAGGCCTAAAAGGATGTTATAGCACTACTATAATCTTCAATCAAAGGACGTGGCCAATAAAGCAGAAGAACAGACGGCGGAGATAGTGTTTGTTTTTCAACAATCACATTAGTGTGTGAGAATATAACCCAACAATTATATCTGTTTCCTTACCACTGATAGAGAGAAACAATAGATACTGAATATAAATGTGGCTACGGTTAAAGTGTGACAAATGGGGAGAATGTAGTCTTTATTTTGTGGTTACAAAATTCGATCAGTATATGTATCACAATAAAGTCAACAGGTTTTCAGATAACCCCTGTGATTTGAGAGAATTCAGAATGTCTAAAAATGGAGTCTGCAAAACTATGCAAGGGCTCAGAAGGTAGACATAAGATCAGACCATGCACATGTTTTTATCAAACAACACTACTAGTACTAACACACACATGATTCATCCTAGCTTTTGAACAGACTTCAGTAACTCAGAGAGCATATGGAATATACCAATTCAAAATTCATTTACTTATTTAGCTCGTTTTATTCTGTTATTTGCTAGAGCGAAATAGGTTGATATTATATACGATGGTTGGCAGAGTGCATATTTCGTTAACATACCATCAAATTGGAGTTAAGTCAATGTGCCACAAAAGTTTCAAACCTATTTGTCCCAGATTAAATTTAGCAACCTCCTATGTGGACTTTGAAAAAAAAGCACTACAGTGTTATAGTTGACTTTCGAAAACATTAGTAATGAGTAAAAACGGCCTAATCACCATTAACGAATGATTTAAATTACTTAGAGACACTCTCATCATGTCTATCAGTCGGCATATCTCTCTGTGACACATACCAAACCTCGAAAGTCTTCATTCCGGCCAAAGCCTTTCTTACTTGAAATGATTTGGAGTGAGCATTCAGCCTTGGATAAACAGCGTCTTCTTCATGATAACGGGAAACACGTAGGAAATGGGTAACACCTAGATTCTAGAAATTATTATTTCAGGTTTGTGAGGGACCAAAACATGAGTCGTGCTAAGAAACATCTCTTGTCTTCCCCAGGAGTAGATTTCAAAGAACAGAAATTAGCCCATCAAAGTTTGAAGTTTGTCTAGGTCACGACCTATCCAACCATGCGGGATTTCGACTGGGCGCCATTTCGTTTGTTGCAATGCAGCTTACAACGTTGGTATTTTTGGTCCAGCTATGGATATGTGTTTCTGGTCATGGTCATGATCATGTTCATAGTCATGAACCACCTCACTATAAGTATTCTAAGGAGGCGAATGTTGGGTAATTGAGTCCGTTTTGTTTGCGTTTTATTGTGGGCTTTATTTGGTGTTTGAACGAGTAATTACTCACTTATTTGTATTCAATGTTCTCAACATTTTTACTGAACTAGTCTTTACCAGGTTATATTTACACTTTTGAATTGATAAACAGTGAAGAATCTATTTCACTCTCATTTCAAATGGATATTGGTAAAGTAAGAGTTTTCGCATATGTCGTTTCACTACTCCAGAAAAATATGTAAGTGAGCGATGATCAAATCAAAAGACGAAAATACCTGAGTTAGTTCGTATGAGTGTATTGCATTTATAGATCGACAGTGGCTATGTCGAGTTAGTTACAACGACATAATCCAACTACATAGGAAGCAAATTCATAAACGTTACTAATAATAAGAAACTGCTTTAGTGCTTTCAGTCTGAATCGCCGTACCTAATCTTCCGGCCTTAAGTATTTCCTATGGTTAGTTGAGCATGAGATCGGTAGTATAAAGATCATGACTAAAGATTTCCCTTTCATCTTAAACCTCAAAACCCATCTAGCGGTTGTTCACTGAATATACTTCTGCATACCAATGCTTTTGTACATCGCAATCGTAATATTTGATAAAATCATTGAAAAGGAAGTGTGGTCTGTGCAAGTACACTATGACTTACTCTATGCTAATGAAATCGTTTTTAATCATATATTTACTTGTACTTCACGCATGATATATAACTGACAATATTGATGTTGGGGCAATGCATGCTAACGAAAAAAGAACGTTTTCTGCACTTTTATGTGTCTGTTTACATCACTTTCGTTTAAATTACAAAGAGAATGAACGTGAAAGAATTATTGAAACTGAATATAAACACATAAAAACTGAAATCTAATGTTTTATCTTAGTGAACACGAATTGGTGGAATCTGTCTATTAGCAGACTTGGCAATTTACTTGATGTGACACTTCTGTGGCTGAGATTTACAAATGAAGTGGATGTTTTTAGTATTGAGTTCTATGAGCTATCTGACTTAATTGTAGAGCTTTGGATGTCTTTCTGGAGAGCATCATCGGCTTCTACTATATGTAGGAATGACGTTTAATTTCATCCTAATGGCCCTGTTTGTAATCAATTTTCTTTGTAAGTTTGGTTGTCTTCATTTGTCCACGTACTCTTGTTGATTGTCTTGTTCGGTTGACCTCTAACTATTTAATCGATTGATCTTTTTCGGATAGGCTGATAGGTCGAATCGGCATCAATATGTTTATTGGTTGCCAAACAGTTTAATTGGCATATCACTAGGAATTCTAAGATACCCAGAATTTTTATCAATCCAAAATTGTTACACTTTTCCAATCGAATTCGTATTCGTGGTTATCCACGTGTATTTATATCACTGATCGAGTGTCGTTTCACTGGTAGTCTGTATTCATGCACGGGCAGATGAAGGAAGCGCCCATTTTTTCACTGTATTTCGCACAGTCGGTATAATTTCTGTTGATCATGTTGTACTTGTCTTTCTCTGTTGTGTCTTAAGATCCGCATTAAATAGAGTGAAAGAATTGTACTAATTTGTAGAAGACATTTGTTTTAGAATTCTTCAAAATCCTCTCAGTAGTTTCTGAGATGTTTTTCACATATAGTAGGACGATCCGTTTCCTGGTTCATGAGGTTAATTTTATTGTATTGAATCGATTTGGCAGGCATCTTTTGACAGTTGCTGAGCTAGTCACTTTTTGTGTAAGACAAAATGAGTTTCCTCATTTTTCGTTTAATTGTAATACTTGAGTAGATTTTGATTCTTTTGAATAGTACTTGTACCCTGTTGGCTTGTTACTGTTGTAATTTGGTATTTTATTTTTGTGACTTAGCTTCCTGTAATTTGAGAATACACTCCTTGTATGTGGTTTTGGATTTTTCTAGGTACAAGCAGAATCATGAACGGGAAACACGTAAAGATTCCTCTGAGAAACTGTGGGTCGAAGTATTCGGAGCTGTGTTACTCATTAGTATCGCTCCTTTTATCATATTGTGCCTGATACCAGATTTGAACAAACACCGCGGCTTCCTCAAGGTTCTTCTCGCATTTGCAGCTGGTGGTTTACTGGGAGATGCATTTCTTCACTTGATTCCTCATGCACTGGAGAGTGGACATTCTAATCCTAACCACACTCACGAGGAAAATAATAAAGACGAACATAGTCACAAGCGTCACTCCAACGTTGGACTTTATGTTGTTGGTGGAATTTTCGCGTTCTTGTGTGTCGAAAAATGTATCCGACTTTTTAGAAATGACCATTGTGGAGGGCACACTCATCATGCAGTGTCTAATGTTGATGGTGAAAATAAAGGAAAGAATAAGAAAAAAGGGGAAGATAACAAAAGTGGAGCTAAAACTAAACGTAAGTTGTGCATAGGATTACATATCAAGTCATCAAGGTTACAGTATCCATTGTAATTATTTAAGTAACTGCATTACTTTCGAATAGAAAATAGAGTCATCATCTAACGTAAGTAAATTTGGTGGTTGGAAATAGTATGAAGAAGCGAAGCTTTCGTTCCTTATAAAGTTAGTGATAATTAGCAATGGTTACCACTAAGGCTGATATTTAAATCATGATGTCTGGCTGATCACATGTTCCTCAACTGAGCTGTTTCCGAAAAAAAGCTTTCAGCGATAGTCAATAGGGCAGTCTTAAAAATGTGTATTACTTCAAGGAAACCTGCTACAATTTCTTATCATCAGTGGCACTAACGTAAGCATCAAGATGACACAGTAGTTGTTGAAAGATGAAATTGAATTTTGAAATAGTTTCGATAATATACTGAACATTTATAATTGGATTTTCTTGTATTAAGACATATTGATCGTCTACTGAAGTGGCATTATACACAGTTTATTGTTTTCATTATCATTCTTTTTTACAGCTACTGACTTCAAAGTCGCTGGATATCTTAACTTGGCAGCAGACTTTGCGCACAATTTTACTGATGGGTTAGCTATTGGTAAGTGTTATTTAGGCTACTTTTTTACACTGTAATTGGTATTACATTAAACCGCGTATTTCTTCAGTGTTTTGAAACTGTCTACATCTAGTGAGCTAAGACTATTTTTTACTAAAGCATTTGAGTATAGCTGTTGATGTGTTGCCTGACTATAGAGTCTCTTTCACTTGTTACAAACTAGCAAGATGTCCTCCTGTCTACCATTGATAGGCGAGTTTACTGTACAACACTTGTCTGTTTAACGTACTCTATGGAATTATTATTTAATCATACGCGTATAGTGGAATCATCAAGTGAGTTATACAAAAGTCAGGTATTAACATCAAGTTAATGAGGCTCCAAATCTTCATTGACTGTGTTGGTTGGAGGATGTTTCATGGATCTTTAATCACTACATACATCGTCGTACAATGTTAGCTAGCAAAACAGTATATCAAAATATAGTAAAGGTGACCAAATCAGAGTTACACCATTCCAAAGTGTTGATCTGTGTCGTTTCTGTAAGTGCTTGTTTCTTGGTTAAGTTCTGCGCGCTAATTGTGATCAGTGATTAGAGACGGGTGACTTAGTTTAAAATCAGTTGCACTAACAGAGATGCGTTCGTTATGGATTTTCCTCTAAATCAATTTCATTAAATTAACTCGTTCACCGGTTGTGTAAGTATGAGCCACATCTGAGGGTTAATTATACTACCCGGTTGTCCGAGCCAGAGTAGTTGGAGCGGTGTTAGAACCAGGGACTTAATGGCTAAAAATTGAATACCTTGACCACTAGAGCATTACTCTAAGTGGGAAGGACTAACTTAGTTTCATTCCTCATATCCCCTTATTTGTCCTTTTCTAACTACGTTTTGCTGGGTTTTCACTATCATTGCCATCAGTATTGTTTCGACTCGCTTTGCTTTCTACTCGGTGCTCATGCAAAATGTAGTAACTTGAACGGATGGATATTTTTAGCAGGTTTTATTTTTGCTTTGCGGTTGTGATAATATTACAACGTGTTACCCATTTATTGGCGATAAATTGTAGTGACGTGAGATAAAAGATCTATTCAGTAGCCGGTAAGGATTACCAATCTAATTCGTTAAGTGGAGATTATTGGCATAACTTCATATATGTCTTTTCTGGTTAGCGTTTTTTTAGCGAGTTGATTTTCTACGGGATGGGGTCGCTAACCCCATGCCCAACCCTCATCCTTTACCCGGGCTTGGGACCGGCAGTAACCCCCAGAGGAGCTACAGGCGGAGTTATGTCTTACCTTTGGGAAATATTTGTTACCTGTTTTTCTGAACAGTTAGTCCCTTTGATAAGTTTGGATACGGTGAGAAGGCGAAGGTTATCAGAATCACCTGATATATCTGCGCAATACATTTCGAACAATCTGATCACACATACTCGTTAAGACATTATACATGAGAAAATAGGTGTATTAGACAAATTAAAAGGTAAATCAAAACAAAGGTAATAAAGTACACAAAATGATGTGAAAAGCATGCTGTATAATAAATCAGTATCACCAGGGTAGGTTAAGGGTAAGAACAAATTGTTTGTGGACACATAAAAGAGGTTTCAGTTTTCGTATAAATAAGACTTCAACAAACCTTAGTATACGCCCTTGATAACGTCTTACTAAAATAAAAAAGCTGACTTGATATAAACATTGTGACCAATATCAACTAAATGTTTCTCAATAAAGGAAGATATTTGTCCACCCGGTGATGTTATTTGACCATTGGAATTCATTTGTTTTTGTTGCTACTTAGGTATGTGTTCAGCCACTATTAATTGCAGCTCACGATTGCTCCTCTCTATGTATGTGCTTCCGTACATACATCTAAATTGATAGACCTGTTTTTGTCGCTTTGCTTCCGATTTATTGAGTTAAAAACTAATGACAAATTCATAAAAGTGGTTAATTTAGTGGTGGTAATATATAAAAGAAAGATTGTATATAAGGATTTAGCACAGGAAGAAAGACAGATATGAAGCAATTTTAATCTCAATGTTTAAGGGAAGATAAAGAGTGTATACACCTAAGCCATTGTGATCGATTCTGAGGCATGCCACACACAGTCTCCAACCATTGGTTACGATAGTCACGCGGACCCCAACTAAGTAGTCTGCATCTACCAACATGGCTCAGACTAGAAGTTAGTGACTTCAAGCTCTGATGCCACATTTTGGTTTGGCCACCCCTAACTCTTTTCCAACCATCGCCAATACTAGTCAGCATTGCTTTTCGTGATAATCGGTGTTCAGGCATACGTAACACATGGCCCAACCATCTCAGTCGATGGAGATTCATGACATATTTTCATTGTAATTTAGTGTTTTCTTTGTTAACTATTATTGTTATATTTTACCGAAAGAAACTGCAGCTTCATACTAATTTTTCTTATGAATTTACGAAGTCGTTAGTTATAATTATCACTACCTACATTTTGCAATCTTGTTAAATATTTGCTTAAAATTTCGTTTGAAAGATCCTTCAGTTCAAATTTAAGTGGTTGTACTCAATTAAAATTTTTTTTCTATACATTTTTAGGTGGATCCTTTCTAGTTAGTAGGAATGTTGGTTTTCTGACCACTTTTACAGTTCTGTTACATGAACTTCCACATGAGATCGGAGACTACGCCATACTTATACAATCCGGATTTTCTTCACGTAAAGTAAGTTTGAGTAAAACGTTATTGTGATGTGGAATTGTATACACTCACTTTCGTTATTGGACTTGCAAAAGTTGAAAAGTAGTGGCGAATCAAGCAAAACTGTGTGAATTGGAATATATTTCATGAAGTATTTATCATTTGACTGAAATCTTGATGTATTTAGACCTGTCTTTATATTACAGCAGTGGCCTAATGGGTAATGAGTTTGACTTTCAGCCACTCAGCTTCTAATTTAAACCGTTCCATCTACTTCGACCCTCACAATTAGGGTGTAGTTTATACCCATGTACCTGGTGATAGACATTTCTTGCTTGTTATAAATTAATGTTGAAACACATTATTCGGATTCTTGTAAATTGGATAATAAAAACACCAGTTACGCTGGCTTTTGCTTTTGCTAGTGTGACTGAATGTCTTACGATTCAATGGCTGGAGTATTACTAAAAGATATTTGCTATAAAGTCGGTGAATTTTAATCTTTGACTTGGAGGTGCAAAAATTGGCCTAACCATTGTCAGGAAATGCTAGTGGAAGAAGAAATGTAAATAAAAGATTGGGTAAATAGTACTTCCTTAAGTCTACTTAGCAGATTTTTGATATTCCTGATAAACCACTACTAAAAGGATATTTACGACATTTCAGAAACCTTCAGGTAAGAACGTCAATGTCATTTACACTGGAATGTACCCAAATAGGCATTACCTTATACACCGATTACTGGAAGGTATACAGGTACCTACAAAAGTTACATTCGCCATGTTGTGATCCACAAATAGAATTTCGTCAACCCTGGCACTAGTGTGCATACATACAGTATGGAAGCGATTTGGATAAAACTGAAAGAATTCCTCGGATTTTATCATGGCTACAAAGATCAATTGTTGTCGAGTCACATGGTGGGAATTTCTATACCGCATGTATTATGACTCCAGAATATCAGAACCTAGTTGTAATCTTCAGAGGTTTTCTAACCATATTAAAGCCGTTTATCCTTTACAGTTCTCTCAATTTTATATGATATATAACTGCTCTATATCATCTATTATCTGACTAGCTGAAATTTCTTAAGGTTTGCTTAGACATCTCATCACATATTTGTGTAGGCATTCGGCTCGTAATTGTTTGATTGTTAGTTGAAATCTGATCCTACCAAAAGCTTATCACACACTGTGGTCTGTGAGTTGTTAATTTAATCAATCTCATGCCTTCTGTTAAAAATTTATACATATTTTCTTCATGCATATACAAAAGTCGATAACAAGTATTTATATCCTGGCTGTATCACAAAAATATTTTGTTTCACCAATAAAAAACCATGCTCCAAGATCATTATAAACACTCACTTTAGGGGTATGTGAATTTATGCACCTTTCTAAAACGAAAATGTTTTAAATGTTATGCCTTCATAGTTCCATGGAATTTCAGGCACCCAGGGAGTTGGTTTGGCCTTAGACAAACTGAGTATATTAAATAATGTAGAATGTAATTCAGTAGTCTGGTATATTCTTTGTCATTAGATCGTGGCAACCCAAACCGATGCACATAACTAACTAATTGATTAGTCTGTGAGTCATATTTGTTATCTAAACACAACCAGTATCTGGTTGTGTGTTAATTTTGAGAGGAGCAACATGTAACACATGTTTATCATTCTGATATGTAACTATGATAATACTTAAAGCAGTACGTCTGTTAATGACCTATTACATAATTTAGGATTACACAGGCCAGTAGGTATCTGGTCTCAGTCCTAGTCTCGGAGTGAACATCGATTCTGGGATGCAGGTGCACTCAGCTGACGAGTCCCAAATAAGATGAAACACGGGACCCGGATATCACTACCAACCACCATCTATCACTGCTTATAATTTAAAAGAATTTCTTTCCAAATTTTAGTTCTTACATTTTAGAAGAGGGTTTTTATTAAAATAATTTAATTGAATCTTTTGTTTCTAAACATCCTCAATTTTCGTATGGATTTTATTCGTTTTCCATTATGTAGGCTATGCTTCTTCAGTTGGTCACTGCTGTTGGTGCACTTCTGGGTTCATCTGTTAGCTTACTTGCTGCACGTGTTAGTATTGGTCCTATTGTTTTTGATGCTAATATACTACCAGTTGTAACGGATGATATTGTTATCGGTTGCATTTTACCATTTACTGCCGGTGGTTTTATCTACATAGCTATGACTTCTGTGTTACCCGACCTGTTGGCAACTAATAATAACACCAGTACTCCTAATACACCAAAAACACGAAACAATGGATTCAAATCATTCGTCCAAAGTTTACTTGAAATAATTTCTTTAATTGGCGGCGTTGGAATGATGGCTGCTATCGGAACATTGGAATAAAATGTGAACAAGTATATAATTTATCTCTGTAGAGAAAAGAACTAGGTTGATATGACTAATGTATTATAGTTCATCTTTCTGTTTGTGTATGCTGGTACTTTTTTGCTGCAATCTAGTCCTCGTAGCCTGTTGTTTTCTTTTCGTTTGTTTGTTTTTTCATATTCATAAAAAATCTACTTGTAAGTGAAGTAATGAATTCAGAAAAGCATTTTCAGAGTACAAACGTAACTATTAGAGTGCTATTTGAAGAAAAAAAGTTATAATTCCCTTTGCTTTCATATTTTCTTTCTCCCTTCACACACACACACTTTTTTTGTTTAATGTTAATTATGTTTTCCCAGTTAAGTTTGATCTTGTTTCAATCATTTTCATTTTATTATTGTTTAATCATACTTTCATTGTCCTGTTTATTGTTGTAAAATGATTAATTTATGTATAGTTTTTGTTTTATTGTTCATCTTGTTGGTTGAATGGTTCTAAATAATTCTTTCCCCTTTTCATATTGTTATTGTTCTTATCATCGAACCTAATTATTCAAAAAAAGGAACTTCTGAAGTTAACCAAAAAGTCTACATTTCTATCATCGATTTCCTTCTTCTTCTTATTCTTTGGTATGGTATATTTGTATTTTGTATTTAATAATAATAATCGAAAGCAGTTTACCATGTAAACACAATTGTACATCGACCAGAACTTCCATTTTGTGTTGGTATTTTTTATTATTCATAACTTTATATTAGTTTGATCATTTCATTTTGTTTTCTTTTCACCGGTATATTTGACTTATTATCTTGGTAAAATAATTTTGTTTTTTTTTCTACGAACTATTGCAGTTGGATGAAGGAAACATTTATTGTTCAATTTGGTATATAATTGTTTTATTTATTAATTAATCTCAAATATTGGGGAACCTAGGGGATCTAAATTTTATTCGGATATTCAATGTAATCACAAGGCTGTATCGTATTGCTATTTAATCGTAAGGAAATGTCGACCGTAAAAGTGTCATACCTCACCTTATCCCACGGATTTCCGTCTCTGGCTTTTTATGTGCGGAGCTAACACATCGAAAAATTCTCATAAAAACGCCGTGCGCGACTGGCCTCGAACAGTTGTCCCTTGTGGTCTTCAGTCACGCTTCCAGGCCTCTAAGACCACTACTAATTCACCTTCTTTTCAGGTCCCAAAAGAAGAAATATCTCTACGGTGTGAGCAGCCGGGAAGTACCAACCAGCGTCATGCATCTTTCAGCACCATAGGTCATCTTGTTGACGATCAAGTCCCTCCCTCACCTCTTAATAATTTCGCCATCCTCACGAATAACCCTTCTCATTTATCTTAATGCCCCTCTAACGGAACATGAACAGGGAGATAGGATGAGTGTATTTCCGCAAACAACGAGTATTTTGGGTAGGAATGAAATTGATATACCATAAAGTTCTTGATAACCTTCATTCGCATGTATCGGGGATATTGAATCCATAAATCCTACATTTAATAAAAAAATAATTTTAAAATCCACATATTAATTTGAAGCAAATCCGATTCACTGTTTGTCAGCGCTTTTATTTGGATCGATTTACTTAGTATGAGGATATTTTAGTTTATTTTCAGTGCATCTTAATTGTATTCATAAGTACTCTGTCATTTTGTGTTTAACTGAAGATAAATCAGTTTGACAGACTTTGTAATTAATAGTCATCCAATCTAGCTGTCAAGTGACTGTTATAACTTTAATATAATCCAATCTTTCTAAAGTCTTCACCGCTAATATTATTTTCTTTTACAGGATTTCTCTTGATTTAATCGAGCGGAAATATTGAAATATTCCTTGTTAGTCATTCGACCTACTCAATTCATATAGATTCTATTTCATATTAAAAGAATCACTCAGTTGTTTTTCACCAGGAAATCACAGCTTACTTGCGCCTGTTACCCCTCATGGAGGGGCATAGGCCTCCCATTAGCATTTTCCATTCAACCCTGTCCTGGGCAAACCTTTTTAGTTCTTTCCAGTTAACATTCATTCTTTTCATGTCTGCTTCCATTTCCCGACGTAATGTGTTCTTTGGCCTTCCTCTTCTCCGCTTCCCTTCCGGATTCCAAGTTAGGGATTGTCTCGTGATGCAGTTTGATGATTTCGTTAGTGTTTGTCTTATCCGCCTCCAACGTCTTTTCCTCTTCAGTTGGAAGCTGGTTGTCCTCTCCCACAAAACGCTGTTGCTGATAGTATCCGGCCAGTGAATGTTGAGTATTTTGCGTAGACAACGTTTTATAAATACTTGTACAGTTTTGATGTTGGTTGTAGTAGTTCTCCACGTTTCAGCTCCATACAGTAGAACTGTGTTGACGTTCGTATTGAAGATTCTGACTTTGATATTGGTTGGCAATTGTTTTGAGTTCCATATAATCTTCAATTGTAGGAATGCGGTCCTTGCTTTGCCAATCCTCGACTTTACATCTGTATCGTCCTCCTTGTTTATCAATGATGCTTCGCAGGTACGTAAATGATTCCAGAGATTCTCCATCAAGTGTAACTGGGTTAGTGTTCTCCATGTTGTATTTGGTAATCTTGCTTTTTCCTTTGTGTATGTTGAGGTCTATTGATGAAGACCAGTCAAATAGCAAAATTAAACTCCACCTGTAGCTCTTCTAGGGCTACTGCCGGTTCCGAGCCCGGGTAAAGGAGGAGGGTTGCGCATGGGGTCGGCAAGTCCATGCCGTAGAAAATATCTTGCACTCTCCCTCAAAGTGCAAAATGTTACATCAGGATTGGGTTGCAGCGACACCTGAAATAATGATAGGGAGTGAAGTAGTTGAGCGTGCTGATTGCTTCACTTATCTTGGGAGTCTCATCAGCTCTTGTGGTTTGGTGTGTGACGAAATCTCAGCACGGATACAGAAGGCTCGTCTAGCTTTCGCCAAATTGCGTCATTTATGGCGTAGGCGAGATCAGCCTAGCAACCAAAGGACGGATTTACTGTGCAGCAGTTCGTTTCGTTCTACTTTATGGCAGTGAAACATGTCCGATAAGAGTAGAGAATATTCGTAGGCTACTAGTATTCGATCACAGGTGTCTTCGAAGCATTGCTCGTATATCCTGGGACCACCGGGTAAGTAATACAGTTGTTAGGAAACGGGTACTAGGTAATGATGGCAAATCGATTGATGAGGTAGTGAAACTTCAGTTGAGATGGCTGGGACACGTGTTACGTATGCCCAACCACCGACTGCCCCGATGTGTAATGTTCCATGGTGTAGGAGTAGGTTGGAAGAAAGCTACGGACGGCCAGACCAAAACGTGGCACAAATACATGAAGTCACTGACAAATGGACTGAGCCATGTTGGTAGGTGTAAACTAGCTGGTTGGGATTCGCGAGATGATAGCAAACGATGGTTAGAGACTTTGAATGACATCGCTCAAAATCGTTTGCAATGGTGGTGGTGCATCCACTCTTTGTGTTCTACCCAATTATAATCTTCTGAATTCCTCATGTTCCTATCATTTTTCTCTTTCCAAATGTATTTTACTGTATTATACTCCTTGAATAACATCTTCAAACCCTAATCTTTCCGATTACTTCTTATACTCTTACTACTTCTACCACTATGGGATTTGAATTGAAAACTTCATCTCTGTGCTAATGTGGTATGGCAACTCGAACTGATGTACGTACATACGAAGTTCTACGTTGTGACTTACTGATTGACTGAAAAAAAACGCCAACCAGATTAAACAAATTAAACCATTTAAACTATTCCCTCCAAGTTGAAGGAAGAATTATGACACCTCAGAATGAAAGCCAAGATTCTTCGGAAGTCACAAAGCTGATGTCCTTTCTAACAACCAGGGCAACACTTTTTATAGGTACGTTGAACGTCCAGACAATGTAAGAGACCGGGAAGACTAATCAAACAGCAAAATTACGGAACCTAATTTATCATTCAAAATAGACATGCTTATAGGACAGATTAAGTATTCTTGTTTGTCTGCCTAATACAATAGATTATAAAACTCTAGTCACTAATGATTATTACTATATTGGAACAATAAGACCATGAATAATAGGTCACAATTTCCAAGATTAATAAGTAATACTTTTATGTTATATAGTTGGAATCATGAGTCAATTGAAGCTAGAACACCAGGGAAAACCTGGGAGCATTGAACGGCCATTACGTCCCATCGTGGGACTCCTCAGCAGTGTGCATCCACGATCTCGTCTCGTGAGATTCGAACCCAGCACCTATCAGTCTCGTGCGCGAGCGCTTAACCACTAGACCACTGAGCTGGCCGGCATCCAACGGTGTTAATGTTTAACTTCAACCAATCCACGACATTGAGCAACCATTCACCTATCTCTTCAGTGAGTTGATATCTTCCAAAAGACCTGATTGAACCCCACTAGTTACTGCTTCTCATTAGAACTTTTATTTGTTTAAAAACAATTTATATTGTCAAAATTTATTTACAATTAAAGAGTTAATATATGATCTAATCCTCTCTTATAATAACATTCTATCTTTTTCAATTTTAGTCACATTTGCATATTCACCACCAAATTTTTCACGTTCATTATTCATTTCTCTTGTCATTTGTTTAATTTCTAATAGACGTAATAGATCTGTCCATAAACTGACTTGTTTTAAACCAAATTTTTCATTTTCTATTAAACGTTTCTGTTCTTGTTTTAATGTTTTTGTTAAAGCTTCTTGTTCAGCTATTTTACGTGTATAAATTTCTCTAGTGATGGGAAAAAAAAGAAAAGACAAGGATATAAAAACTGACATAAACAATATTTATAATTTGCTGTTAGTCAATTATTTACATTCCCACCTACTCACAACCACTTTTGACCGAGTGGATAACGCGATGGCGTTTGAAGTGAAAGGTACTGGGTTCGAGTTCCAGAGTGAACATCAACTCTCACATGCAGATACAGCCAGCTGACGAGTCCCAAATAGGACGAAACGCATGTCCTGGATTCCACTGCTAGCCACTATCCATCTTTGCTTACCATGCTTGTGAATTAAGGCTATATCGAGGCAATGCACACAGTATGCACATATGCCAATTAGAGACTGACCAGTTGCAGTCCTAACACATCGATAGGAAGATTCAAACAAACAATACTAAATGAAATTATTTATATATAGTTGTTATTTTCCATTTAATGGTGTGATACAGTCTGGTCTGTTTGAACTATAATATATTAGAGTTTGGCTGCTGACTTAAAGGCAGGGAAGAGAGAAGCTAAAGAATCGTTAGCCGGCAGAAAATAAACGTTAACTCAAGGTTGTTAGTGTGGTGAAACTGCACATCAACGACGATCTTTAAGCAACTTTAAAATAACCTTGAGGCGAATTATCTCTTTACCGTAGTCAAAAGAGGGTTATAAAGTAGTATCAAGAATGGGGATTGGGATTTAGTTAGAATTAAGGGTTAGGAGTTAAATTAAGTGTTTTCATCACAAATTGATCTTAACCATGTTGCCGGTCGGACATGTATTAGCAAAATCCGAAACACTAAGACATAAAGGAAATAGTGAACAGTAAGTAGACCAAATTGGAATCACGATTCTGATAAGTGATTTGTCATGTGATATTGGTCAGCGATCACAGGACATAATCCACCTGGTGTTAGTTTATGATGGAAATAATCTTCAACTTACAGAAAATCTCTGCACATATCATTCAACTCGGAATCGATGGGGTTATGTTAAACTCTTCATACTATAGACTTTCAAAGTGTGTTGTACGATCTATGTACAAATCTTTGTCACAACATATTCCATTGAAAGCTCTTTACAAGTTGTTAATAATGTTGATAGTGTAAGCGTTAAGAAGTTCATGGATGAATGTGATGT